GGGTAGATTTTAGTAAATCCATTAAACTATAAGGGGTATTTTAGTAAATGACCTTTCTATTATTTAGCCTTTGCTTAATAAATCTCGTGCATCGCACGGGTCCCCGCTAGTAGCTTATATATCCACGTGTCATCTAGATTCAACTAATGTTTGCTAGGGAGGGGTTTAGTGGTTACTGGTTAGTGATTAACGTGAATGGGAATAATAGACCTAGGATAGATTGCCAATGAGGATGTTCATGAATAGAAAGTACAATGGTGGAGTCAATGAGATATGACAAATGCACAACGACGAGAACTCAATAAGGTTATGAAAGATTGTGAGGTGGTGGACGATGGATGTAGTGATGACGGTGGTAGTGAAATTTTTTATCAATTGGATTTCATTTTAAAAATTTGAGGGTAAATTTGATATTTCGTTTTTTTCTATTAGTGACAATGTCAATTATCAAAAGAGCATGAGAGTTAGGGGTGTCCACGGTTCGGTTACATGGTTTTTTTTGTAAACTGAACCAGTGGTACCGGTTTTTCCATTTCTCCAAACCAAAACCGAACCGGTACCACTGGTTAACCGATCCGCCGATTTTGGTTTTTTATATTCATAATATATATTATATAAATATATGTATAATATTATATTATAAATAATAAATGATATATAATATATTATAAATATTTTAAAAATATATAATAGATCATTATAAATATAATATAAGTATATATTTATATATAATGAATATATATTTATATATAATATATAGAAAATATGTGACATTTATTAAAAATATATATAAAATATACATATAAATATATATACCGGTCGGTTCGGTTAATCGCCGATTTTTTGTAGGTTAATCGAAAACCAAACCGTTCCTTTGTTTTTTTCAAAAATTCTGAACCAAAACCGAACCGATCGATTCGGTTAACCACATTTCACAATTTGGTTTTCTCAATTCGGTTCAGCTTTTCGATTTTTCTGTTTTTCATTGACACCCCTAATGAGAGTAAGGGTATAGTAAGTCAATTAACTAAACACTATTTTTTTATTTTTTTTGCTTGATCGGTTTTTATGTGTTTTATATTATTTTATTTTACTTTTTCACTTGATTGTTGTTTTGCGATCTTGGCATCTTGCGATATTAAGCAAAGGGGTAAAAAGAGTACCGGTCGATTTTTGTCTTCAGCACATATGACATATAAACCATAACCCTCTCTATGTAGGTGCTGCTTAGGGTTTTCTGTTATCTCTCGTGCAAGTATCCACCGTACATAGTCTATCATGTTCGAATAACAAGCGAGATGATCTCCTCGGTTCTTCGCGGTCATCCATTGAAAGTACTTCCTGAACACTGTTCCTCTATTTCTCTTGCAACCTATGTGTGTCGCTTTTAGTCTCTTTGTGCAAATCTATGGTACGGTTCCTCTTTCTCGGACCATGCTTAAATGCATCATAAGCATAGAAATTCGAGCAAGAAGTTATAGAGTTAGTGAAATCTGCAATTTTTTTTTTCTAGCAAATAGTTATATATTTCAAGAAAAAAACTAGTTTTTGACATATCATTGATACAAGGTTACAAGCTCCATTGGTTATGGATTGTCTATCTAGCATGACATTACTTGTATATTTTTTATAACTTTTTTGGATGATCATTTTTTTGCCTTTTCCAATTTTAGTGATCCGTTTGTTAGTTACAACTCTTAGTGGAAAAACGCTACTATGTAATAGTTATTTGTGGATTCCCTTGTTCTTTCTAGCTGAATCTGGTTGTCACAAATTTTACGATAATTACATGCCTCACACCTTCTTTTAAATATTATGGTTCATTCTTGATACGAGAGATTGTTGTTATTTTAAAAATTAATTTCCACCTACCCTACCCCGCGCCACTCCAAACAAAAGGGTCCCCATCATATGGGAAAATAGATGCTAGTATTTTTGGTTAGATGATTCTTTGGTTAAGGTACGAGCACAAGTCAATGCATAAGGTATGGTAATTCCATTTTATGCTTCAATTACCTAGGTGATCATGATTTAATTTTGTGCATTATACGTCATAGGAATTACACACTATTGAAGATGAGGATATTTAGATGTTGTATGATATTCGTTATTTCTTTATTTTGCACATTCTTTTTAAAAATGATATCAGAAATATAATGTAAGTTCAAAAAATTAGGGAAGAGAGGCATCATAGAGGTGGTTGGCCTTTCTCGAATTGTGAAATGTAATTTTTGGTGTATTTATGTAATTGTTTATTTTCCTAGAGTTGAGGAGTTATTATGTCGTGGTATCCATATCTGATCTCTATACTACACATTCATTGTGTGAGCAAATTAAGTTTTACCCAGACATGTCATGTATAGCGGTGGCAATTGGGTGGGTTGGGTTGGGTTGGGTTTGGTTTGGGTTGAACTTCAACCCAACCCATCTAACCCGCCAACCCATTAATGACCCAGTTATATAAAATTAAATGGGTTGGGTTCAATCCAAACTCGCTTTAACCCAATCCAACCCGCCTAAACCCATTAATCTTATATTTATTGACTTAAAAAACAAATTCTCTTTTAACAAATAAGTTGGTCATAACTTGGTGGTAATAGTAATTATTATTTACACAAGTGGTGAAGGTTCAAATCACATTACATGCATGCTATTTTTACACAAGCGACAAAGCCATTTGACTATATTCGGATTTCGGGTTTGACCAAACCACTTAGGTTCAAGCCAATTATACCAACTTGAACTATATAATTGGATTATCTTCGAGCTAATCACATCGAGGGTGGTTGAACCGTTTATATCTGGATTAGTCAGATCAAACTGGGCCAACCCAATTCAATCGATCGTGGATTGACTTTGACCGACCCATATAAGGTTTGTGCACGGGTTTGGGACCAAACCAACTGACCCAAAGTGGGTTAACGTAATTAAATCGGGTCGGATTGTGTGGATATTGGTCGGTCCGAATGGTCCAGACCACGCAAAGCACGCTGACACTGAACCATCCTGCTCAAAACCATTTCGGATTCAGGTCGACTCGAGTCGACTTGTACCGGGTCAAGTCGGGTTGTGTAAATGCTGGTTGGATCGGATGATCCAAACCGAACAAAGCAAACGATATCAAACCATCCTGCCTGGGGCCTATTTCGGATTCAGGTCGACCTAGATCGGCTTGTACCGAGTCGGGTCGAATTGTACGGATACTGGTTGGATCAGACGACCCAAGCTAGGCAAAGTAAGCGATATCAAACCATCCCGCCTGGGGTCTATTTCGGATTTGGATCGATCCATATCGGCTTATGCCAGGTCGGGTCGGGCTGTGTGAATACTGGTTGGATTGGACGACCAAAACCGGCCACAGCAAGCGGTACCGAACCATCCCGCCCGAGGTTTATTTCGGATTTGGGTCGACCCATGTCGATATATGTTGGATTGGGTCAGCCCGCATTGGACTGGTTCGGACTCGGGTCAAATTGATTTGGATTTATGTTGGGTCAAGTGTGTTTATTCAAGACAAAAATAAATTTAGTCGATAATTAATAGAAAAATAATGCATTAATTATAAATTATTTAATTCAAATGAAGAACTAAAAAAAGGCTACGAAATTAATACTTATGTCTTTAAAGGTTAACCCAATGGTTATCCACAACCCAATCCATTTAAATGGGCAGGTTGGGTGATGGGTTGATCATACAACCCACCAAGTAAATGGGCAGGTAAGATTTTGGGTGGGTTCAACAGATTGGGTGAAAAATTGCCACCCCTAGTCATGCATACCAAGTTGAAGTGTCCTTTAAATGTCAAATGCACCACAACAATTTCCAAACATGGAGTGTTGAATGAGATCATATCTTGTTACAAAATGAGATGTTCTTGGTAATGAAATGCTTTTCTTAGATTTGAAAAGAATTATATTACTCAAAGCTAAAGTGGAGGCACAAAAAGTTTGAAGAGGAGTAATGAAAAAAACATGGCTTTGTACACTAAGAAAGATTTTGTAGCTCAACCTTTAGGGGGGGGTTATGGCTTAAACAGAAAAGATTGTGGAAAAGGAATTTTGTAAGCAGACACATCCAGTGTTAATGGTGGAGTAATGTTGATAGCACGATGATAATGCTCATTGTCAACACTCGATTTTTGCTCGGTCTGCTGCTTGAACCTTCAATTTACCTCAAATACCCGATTAGACACTCCTAATCTCTCCGAAATACTAAAAAACCCAAAAATTCCAAATTTCAACCCAAGAGCCCTTAGATCAACCGTTAAACATGCCCAATACCTAACTGATGGCCCTAATCAACCCCTACTTACACCTCAACCATTAGATCAGAACAAAACCATTAGACCCATGACCTTTCAAACACCTACCCATAAATTTTTTGGTTTAATAGTTGAACTCCAAATACATCAAAACACTTGCCCATAAAGTTTCAATCCTATATACCCCCATGTGCCCTTCCATCAAACCAAGATTTCATTTCGAAACATCCCATTGACCCAAATTCCTTCGATCTTGACCCTCTAAGACTGATCAGGCCTACCATTAGATCCCGGATACCTCCAAATACCCACTTGTGAAATCGCATCCCAAAATACCTAATTTTACCCTTTAATCACACTAAGATTCCATTTCAAGGTCCCAAATTAACTAGATTACAAATCTGCCCGATTCGGGCCCAGTTGGCTCAATCTAACCTTACCAATCACCTCAGAGTATCCAAAAATCGTACCTTGTGAAATTTCAGCCAAAAATACCATCTTCGGCCATCCATCTAAAAAGATTTCATTTCAGCCAATCTCGTGGGTCCATTCACACAAAACCCTTCTCAGCGGTAACCACCCACCATTGGTCCACAACCCCGGTTCAACCCCTTAGACCCGGATTGACCCAATTACTCTAAAAGTACCAAAATACCCCAATGTTCTCGAAATTACAAAATTGCCCCTTCCTCCCATATAAATTCAATCTAAACTTCCATTCGCCCTAATCCGAAAAATTCGAAAGAAGGCACTTCCAGCGAAATCAGCAACCTAGACGCACACTCCTAGTTGCAGCGTTAGATTTCAGACCGGAATCCCAATCAAAGTTCCTCTGTTTTGCCGACTGTGTCCAGGCCGGAATCCCAATCAGGTACTCTGTCATCGTTTCTCCTCTTTTCTTTTGTCTTTCTTTTTCTTTCAAATTTTCCCGTTTTGCCTCTCCTGTGTTTTGTCGCGGAATAGCGGGATCCAAATGGGGTATTTAGCCTCTCCAGTGATGGAGTTTTCGTTGAACCAGTTCCGGCGAAACCATCGTCGCCAATCCATTCCCTGAAGTTTTAATTATTATGTGAATCTAGATGGCCAACATCAATTTGTCATTTTGTCTACTTTAACTGTTGACTAGCCTATATTACACTGTCTTCGTTTTTTAGTTATCTGAGTGCAAATTAGGTAATTGCCTGTTTCGTTTTATTGAATTAGTTAGTTTTATTCGTTTTTAATTTGTTATTTGTTCTATCAGTTTAAATTAGTTCATTCGATCTGTATGCAATAAAAAAATGTAAACAAATAAATGTTATATTGGAGACAAGGAGTATATACACATAATAAGAAAGAAGGGGTAAAGGATTCGTTGATGGACGGAGAAGAGTAAATGATAGGGGAAAATTTAATATCAAGTTTGACAAGTCTGAATGGTTAGCCCGAAAGTCAGGAAGCATCCATTGGATAGATGATAGGGGGAAAATTAGCTACTAAAAGGGAAACAGTAATAAAAAGTAAAAAATTATATATAAAAAAATAAAAAAATGAAACATAAAAACATAAAAGATCAAAAATAAAAAAAGAATTCCATAAAATAGATAAAATCAAGTAGGGTTCCTTAAGAAAAACAACAAGAAAATAAATAATTAATAAAATAAAAGGAAGAAATAACAAAATAAAACAAATAAAAATATAATAAAAAGTAAGAAGGAAATAAAAAAATAATAAAGATTGATACAGTAGATTCCCTTTTGTGCTGGCTTGTTTTGATGCTTTGTTCTTATTATTGTTCATTTGTGATTGCTTGTTTGGACCTCATGTGGGCCCACCTATTGGACCCGGGAGAGGGGTGCCTGACCCTTCCCCTCTCCCATCCGAGTCTTACCTGGACTGGCTAGCCAGTGCCCTAGGTTTTGGAGTCACTATTTAATAAAAATGATTTTTATGCCATTCTTGGAGGTTCCATCACCTTCATTTCTTAATATGATGGGTGGCGACTCCATTTCCAGCCCAAGTGAGCTGTTTTCCGATGCTCACACTCACCTTAAGATATAGTAGCATTAAAGGAACATGAAAATGTAAATCATGTTTGTGAAAATCTTGCAGAAACCATTTGAGAAATTGTTCATGCATAATATCTAGTTATATAAGATCAGTATTTAGCATCTTATTTGATGGGCTAGGGAGAGAAGATTCATTTATCTGACACATGATCTTTGTATTTGGATACCTATACTACAAAATGTAAAGGAGAGTGAAAAAGAAAGTCTTGTAAAAGGAAAGAGTAAAGAACAGATAGCCAAGTAAATGGTGTATGTCTAGATAAATGGTGTTGAAGTGTATGTCTAGATAAATGGTGTTGAACATTGTAAGTGGGTGGGATGAAAAAGTAGCTATAGGAACATGTGAAGCGTGTTGAAAAGAGACGAGGGTTCTCTTTTTGAACTGGATGGTTGCAGTGAAGTTCTGTGTGTAGATAAATGGTGTTGAACACTGTAAGTGGGTTGGATGGAAAAAAGGGTGTATCCATGTATGTCTAGATAAATGGTGTTGAGCACCATAAATAGGTGGGATGAAAAAAGTAGCTACAGGATCATGTGAAGTGTGTTGAAAAGAGATGAGGGTTCTCATTTTGAACGGATGGTTGCAGTGATTAAATTGTGTGTCTCTAGACACTAATTATATATGAAAATTGTTTTTTACTTGAAGAGATTATCTGAAGTGGTTTCTTGGTGGACAACTTGAATTTTGTTAATAACATTTCTATTTAATTGCACTTGGATATGGACACCAAATTAAACTTTTTGTATGTTTAGACTGATAAAAGAACCATTTTGCATTTCTGGACTTTGGAACTTGGAAGTTTAGAATAAAGTGATTTGTAAACAAAGTTAGCACTTCACTTGAGAAAGTTGGAGAATTCTTGATGTGAAAGAGATTATTCTTTGTTTTCAATCTCTCCTCCCGTTTCTTCTCTATTTTTATGATTATGATCAGTAACAGGTCATTGTGGATTTATTATTTATAGAATGAAAAGAGGAAATGCAATCAAAGATTCAAAGGTAAACCAAAAGGCTGGCCAGCACCAGCCTCCGTACAAATCTCCATATACAACAGTTAGAACCTAATCTGATAGGGTAGATCCCCAATACAAGTGTCTACTGTTTATCCAATACTGGTTAAAAGAGTTAGCCGAATCATTTGCAGATCTCCTACTTAATCATAATCTAATCTTGTAGGATAGAGCCACAATACAGATGATTCCTACTTATCCTATTCCTGGCTGAAAGAGATCCAAATCATCTGCACATCTCCTAAGTCCTAGCCCAACAGAATGAGATGCTTCCCAAGGATGTTAGTGATGTAGCCTCTATTGTACAATAATGATGAACCAATGGGTACAACTTATTCCTACTTCCACACACCTGGCAAAAAGAATTAGCCACATAATGCAGATCTCTTAAACCAGTGAGCGAGATGCTTCCATTGGATGTAGTTATCATCTCCTGCGTCCCTCATCTAGCCATGCACTACCTGTGAATCTCCCTCTTCCTGCACCCTTGAATTGCCAATAGCATACAATACTCATAATCCTCTCACAATTCGTTCAACTTGAGTAGAATCACCCCATCTCACTGATCCATAATGGACATGTGGTACCTTCCCGTTGTGACTCCTCCCTCTGTAGTTTCCAATCTCCACCTTGGAATCTTGGATTTTGAAAAATCTTCAATCTTGTATATCGGGTGTAGTCTCCTTTGATTTTGTGACTCTTGCCCTGAGACAGACTGTGAACTAGAGGCATGCTAAGGGGTGGTGATATTGAACAGAAAGATTCCAATTCCATTGGAACTAGTGAAGCGGCAAATTGGGTTTGAACTTGACAGTATTGATTTCTGTGTTAAAGTGAACAGTCACCTTCTCCTGTACATTGAGCAACAGACAGAGGACTAGAAGTTCTTTAGAAATCCATATTTATCTTGTAGTTTTAGGGTTTCTGGAATCTAAGTATACCACTATAGGACAATGGAGATCCCAAGGAAATAATTCCTGACAGACCTGTCTTGGCAAGGAGCTCATAAACTGGATCATTTGTGGTTTCGGACAGACCATAGAATATTCACTACATGTATTTAGTAATTAAGTTCGTGTTCATAAGATCTCTCTTCAATGGAAAATGCCACATGGTTATAGCCGATTTGGTAATTTGCGTAAGCTTTATAATATTGACATGTTTGCATAGGAAATAGTACCATTGCATCCAGATTAATTTAATGCTAATTTTTACATGCATCATCATCCTAGTGAAGAAAAACTAATTTGTATAATTTTTATGATTCTGTGCAGTTTTTGTTATCTGAGAGACATGTATTCCTCCAGGGGGGGTAATGCATATGGCCAGCAGTCATATTCTGCACAACCGGCATATGGGCAAAGTGTAAGTGTAGAATGTAGATACAATCGTCAAATTACATTTCCATATTAGAAGTATATCATTTTCAACTATATAAATTAAATTTCTAGATGTTGAGTCGACTACAAAAATAAAAAAAAGATGAAATTGAGTCTTTTTAGTGATGAGTGATGGTTGATGCTCAACAATTTCTGATAACTTAGTATTATATATTGACTATTTTTGCTATCTTTTTACTTTGTAGTCTGGACCTTATTCTGGAGGCTCTGTTGGTGGCCCTGAGGGAGGGTCTCAACTTTCCCTGGCCTCTCGGCATTCATCCATGTTAGGTGGTTCTCAAGAAGCAGATGTTGGTGGATATAGAGCTCATCCATCAACTGCAGCACATTATGGGGGACAATATGGGGCTGTTTATGGTGCATCTTCTTTGAATACCGCTCAACAGGTTAGTTTTTATTTTCACTTCCAAATGTACTAGTTTGCATCTGATTTGTTCATAATTTGTTTGTTCTTTCTCTGTGGTATGTATTTTTTTAGACTTCCTTTTTTTATTTTTATTTTTTTCATATTGTACTTGAGATATATAGACTTGATTATGTGGATAGAAATGTATCAGTATTACAGTATTCACTCTGGTCTGTGGTATGTATTTTTTTAGACTTCCTTTTTTTATTTTTATTTTTTTCATATTGTACTTGAGATATATAGACTTGATTATGTGGATAGAAATGTAAAAGCATAAAAATTTAACTCTCTATATGCACCAAATCCGCCAATGATAAACTTCTCAAATACCATTACATGCTTTGTCCACTTTGATTTTTTTTTGATAATTAATGTATAGCCTGTAGTTCAACAAAATCTTTCCCCTATGACTGAAACCTCTTACTAGCCATGAAGAAATCAGAAGTGAAGTTCCTTGGGGATTACATAGATCCTCTTTAAGAGAGCAATAAAGGTAAAACATATCTAATAAAGTATGTGTAGGGACTAGGGACACTGGAGAAGGAGATTGGGGAGTGATTCCTCATTCTGCACGAAAAGTATCCACTTTCTGAATAGTTAGACAATGTGATTGGTAGTAATTTTGTCCAACACTGCTCTCCACATAAAGAATGAAACTTTAGGTGGCACATTCTCTTCCCATATCCAGTGACAAGGAACAGAACCTGGATGCCTACTAGAGCTGCATAGAAGGGCTTGACTAAGAAAACATCCATCAGTCTGTTTGCAGACTATTCAAGGGGGTTTTGTGCAGGTGGATCTGGAATATTTGTGGTGCATATGGTGGAGTGAACTCCAGGAGTTAGAATTAAGACTATAATTGCAGGACATGAGGGGAG